ATATTAGCGTTAAATTTCAATATCAGACATCGGCCATTCCATTAAAATAACTTGCTAATACAAAAGGCGCTGTCTGTGCCTGCAGCGGCAGCACAAATTGATGACGTTACGTGCGCCTACCCGATCTCACAGTGGAGAGAAAAATTGAAAATGTCGGCGGTGTGGAAGTTTTATTTTTCGTTGGTGAGGATGTCAGATTCCGAAGATATATGGACTACATTGAGCCTCGCTACATTGTCCCCCGTCTGAGATATTTTTCCGACATAACACTACCCGAGTTACAAGCCGTCATTTCCGACATCATTGAGAAGCTAATAGCCGATAGCACAGCTTGTTGGGTGAGTTTTACCACAAACATTTGGACGTTGTGTTAGCCCCGTTAGCATGATTAGTCTTGTGGCACAATGGATAGACAAAAACTTTGATCTTATAAAGGCTGTCCTTCATGCACATGAGCGCAGAGGATCCCAGACTGCAGCTAAGAACCTGGAACAAGCCTCCACAAGTGAGACAGCATCGCAGGTGACTAATGCTAATAAACATTTAACACTTTTCATTTAATATAAGTCAAAGTGCTATGCATATCATATGGCTGTTACTTAGTTCTTACAGCTGTTGCACAATTTTTGTAGCAAATAAGCCTAAATAAGAGGCTATGTTCTGACAAAGGAAAGTATATAAAATATCAGTATTGGCATTGGTTAGCAGCCGAATAAGTTTTAACATATCGGCCTATCGGATATTGGCCAAAAATCCAATATCGTGCATTCCTAATATATATACATATATATTTCCATTTTGACAAATTTTTATGGAAGTTGATTATAGCCATCTTTAGTGGTTTGAGAAGGGGGTGGGTGGAAATAGGTAGTAATGGCACAGATTTAGAAACTTTGAGAGAATTAGCTTTGAACACATTTTTGTAGGAGTATTACAAAAAGGCAGTACAAAAATAAATGAGCGCAGAAAGACCCACACTGCAAACAGTGTTGTCAGAGAGGCTGCAGCAGAACAATGGGTTTGATTAGCTGTCGATGATTCATGGAGTATGGGCCAACAATGCAACCACAATAGAGTTAAATGTATTTATTTAAATGGTAAAATGGGGAAAAATAAAATATTGACATTCTAACAGCATATATTTACCATTAGCCACACTGCCCTTTATATAATTACAAATGTCTAAATTGGTTGCTTATCCTCCACAATGTTCAGGCACATTATCTCAAAGCTGATACGAGAAACTTTTGCCAGATATTTTTTCTTCTACCTGTCCTAATCTGATAAGTTCAGTTCATGTTAGAATATAACATGCTGCATCACTTGACCTTTAATATAAATGCGAACACCGAGTGTCTGTGCTTCCATTCCCTAATTATAATCTGAGACTTTTGACAAGAACCAGATTTAGGGATTTGAACCAGATCACAGACAACAGGAAGGTTTAAAATATTTATTGATAAACTGCTTCTGGTGGAGGTCTGAGTCCTTGGGCCAGCACGATCTGAAGAGACAGAAAGGCGAGGGTCATGCACGGGTGATCAGAAATCCGAAACCAAACTTGAATCGTGATCCGGTAGACGTGGTCGTTGTAGAGAAGAAGGCAGAGGTTGTTACCATGAGCAGAGTAGATAATCCAAAGCAAGCAGGGGACGAGCAAGATGGGTAATCTAGTGATGGTAGTATGAAACAAAAGCTTCAAAACATGCTTCGAACCCTGCAGTAAAATTACATCAGAGCACTGCTCCGGAGCCTGTTTTGGTGCGGAAAAAGTCACGTGACACGTTACGTCTGAAACACAAACTGTTTCGTTGTCGGAATTAATCGTTTGACTGGTCCAATCAGCTGATTCCCTGGCACCGCCTCGTCTCGATTCTGACAGGTGACAGGTTGAGACAGTTTTGAATTGAGAGCTCAACACTATGAAACAGCTCTAAAATGTTTGCAATGTGTTGGAGAGTAGGTGTGTTTTTTTTGCTGTTAGTTGAAATTGAGTAGTTATGGAGGCAGCCAGGAAAAGAGGTTGTTCTAACGTGGGAACACTTCATTCTGCTCATGATAAGGTGGTTGTGGCATTTAAATGTCAAAAAAGTTATAGTAATGTTCAGCAGTGAAGATATTATCTAACCCATTTAACCAATGTATTTAATAATTAATAATTTCCTTTTACTTAGCATTTTGACACTTTTGGCTCTTAACTAACATTTAGCTTATTTTAGCTTATAGCCAGTGTTCTGCTGCTTTTAGCTTTATCAACTCAGTTTCATCTTATATTTCAGCAAAGTCATTCTGCACTCAGCATTCACACAGAATCAAAAATCATAATCACAGAAAATGTGATTTCTCTAGCCTTGTTTTGAAGTAGTGCTATAGAAATAAAAACTGGAATAAAATGATTTCAACAGATATAATTTAAAATGATGACAACAGAAATGAACTAAATTAAATAGAATAGGACTCAATTTAAAAACTCCTCTAAATTCAATTGAATTTTATTGAAGGTGAACTGAAATGAACTGAAAAATTTAATATTTTGACTGAACTATACTGAATTTTATTCAATTAACTGTGTGATAAGTGCAAGTTTTTAAGAAGTATTTACCATCAGTTGTTTTATTTGTTTGCTTTTTCCAGACAAAGATAATAACTAGTGTGAGGTAAAGGTGTGAGTGTCAAACCTTAGTGGCTCTGCCGTGGGTTTGCTTGTCTCGCATGTGTTTTTGTCTCACCTCTCTGTTTGTAATGTAACCTTGGAGGGTTCCACGTTTGGGTTCTCCCACTCCATATGAGGGCAGTGCATGAAGTAACACAGTGTGTAGATCGCTTCAGGTGCCCAGTGAATCGCACAGCTCTTTGGATGGATCGGCGTCCCGTTGCTCTGATTCTTCAGATACAAAGGCTGAAGGTGGTGCATGGCTCTGGACACTAGATCACCTGCACAAACACATCCACAAACAAAAAGATAAGCACAATGGAAACCGGCTGCTGAGAAACGAATTCACTGTCACGTTCAGCAGACAAGGCTGAAAATACAATATTGTGCACATGTTCTTTAAAAATACATAAAGGAATTTCATATTTCTCCTCTGTTACGGGAAACTGATAGAGACTACGTGTTGCAGCATGGAAGAACTATTTTCTGAGCCGTTCACAGGAGCAGAGCAGGAAGAGCTTGGCCAGGACTGCACCAGGTGAAAAGAATAATTATTATTATGGGTATTTTTTATTTTTAAGTCTTACTTCTTTAAAATCAAAGCTTTGATCTACAATTAAACAGTTTAAACTGAGTTTTAAAACAACTCTTTCTTTCAGAACAGAACAGTTTTGCTGCTGCAGGGTCAGATATCATATTGCAGCATGTTCAGTTTCTCAGAAGTTCAGTCATGAATGTCAGGTTTTTTTTTTTACAGAGCCTTTTCCTTTCATGGAAATATGATGATTGTGGCAACTCCGATATTGAATTCTATTGAAAATAAAATACAATAAAATCTTTGTGTTATTAAAGTGAACTCAGACTTCAATATCACTGAGTTCTGTCACTTCTGCCTCTTCACCACTTCTCTTTTTTGCCTCAACTCACAGCACTACAAGTAAATGTAATACCAGTCTGACGCATAGAAGATATAAAAACCTTGTGGCACATAGCTCTGGTCATTTTTGATACGAGGCACAAAAGTAATAGAGCCTGACACCAAGTGGTCCCCTGTTGTAAATTAGATTTACTGTTTGTGTGCCTGTGTGATCCAAAGCATGGAATAGACATTTTTAAAGACAAAGGGGTTTGTTTAGCATCAAAATTGCTACCTTTATTGCATGCCAAAATTCCATTTAGCCTCCGCAACGTGAAAGGCAAGTGTGAAAAGAAGAGCTGAATGAGGGAATAGCATTCACGCAACAAAGTCAATCTCTCTGCCGTCCTTTGGGAGGAGTGTCACTGTGCTGATAGAGGAATGTGATTGATATCATCTTGATGCAATGAGCAAAAGATATCAGAACAAAAACAATCATCTTCAGTGTCAAATCTAAGTTTCTCTTTGTGTGTTGCTGCAGCTTTTTCTTCTCTAAGTTTTGAACATAGATTAGCTTGGTTTTTTTTTATCCAAAAGAGGAAGAATATAGAAAATATTCCAGTTAATCACATTAATGCACCAATAACTTTTAACGCCATCAAAATTGTATTAATGCCTCATCCTGGGTGATTTTTCTTAAGATAATGAGGAGGAAAGAATGACAAATTATCAAGCAAACCAAGTACTTTTTATGTCACATCAAACTGAAAACTAAGTTGTAAGGTACCGTATTTTTTGTCCTATAAGTCGTGTTTTTTTTGTTGCATAATTTGCATCCCTTGCGACTTATAGGCCGAAGTGACATATTTATGGATTTTTTTCCCATCTTCATAAACCAATTTTTGGCTGAGATATGACCATTTTCATTCATTCTGACTGAAAAAAATGAACACTACCATTTTCAGCCGCTAGATGGCAACAGAGTAGTAAGGCATGCCGTTGTATCATGTAATAGGTAAAAGTGGCTATAATGACAAATTCAAAAAAGTTAAGACAAAAACAACTGGACTTTATTTATTAAACTTTATACTTTAATGTTTTTGTCTTTTTAGAATTTAGCATGTCCTGGATGACTGATAATCTTTAACAGCTATTAATGACACAATCAGCTTGCCATAGAATGTCACTTCTGTTCTGTTTGGAGCAACTGTCAAACCAGTTTCATTTTGCTGCACTGCCCTGGCAAAATGCAGCTAATTTGACCATTAAAGTGCATTTATTAAGTAAAAGCTCAACTGAGACACACCTTTGCTTTAATTTTGAGCAAACAAATAATTGTTTTAGGTGCTTTTCTTGTTAAATTTCGAAGAAATGAAGAGCGGCTCGTCCTTCTGCACGTGCCCGCTTCTATGAATCATGTTTTGAAATGCAGCTGATTTGATCGTCTAAGCGCATTTATTAAGCAAAAGTTAGACTGAGACACACCTTTACTATAAATTAGAGCAAACAATTGTTTTTAGGTGGTTATCTTCTTAAATTTGCACAGCGACTCATCCCGTGGACACACTTACATCCACATCTAAAAAGATCCTGGAACTCCTGGTGCCACTTGCCTTCAGCTTGTGTCTATTCTGTTACTCACCTGCCTGCCAACCTGCCTTCAAGTTGCCTGCATTCAATCCACTAAAGTATATGTTCACCCACCAGCCTCATCACCACCATCTCTGTTGCCATACTTACCTGGAATCCTCCAACCTCCTCACTGCACTGCTGGACCACAAGGAACCTGTAAGATAAATAAGTACAAGTCTACCAACAATGCCTTCTAAATACCATACTTACTTGGCTCTATCCTTTGCAGATCATCCCACTATATCTTGATTAACCATCATTGTAAATAAATAGCATTTTTCCTAGTTGTCTGAGTCAGTTGCGCTCAGTTCCTCTGCTCTTGGTGTTTATTACTTTAGTTATGATAAAAATGTCTATAACTGTTTTCATCATAAGATGCTTTTCAATTAAAGCTTGGTGTTAAAGACAATATGCATTCCTTTAAGGAATGCTAGGTCTTTAACTTTTTTTAAAGTGTTACTATTCTCTTCGGATAGGAAAAATAAAAATGTGTAAGCACCTAATGGCACAACTTTGACTTATGAAAGGTTTTTAAAGAGGTGGGTACTTTGAGGTCAGTAACCGTTAATGGAGCACCCACATAACAACAGAAAAGGCTCATTACTCCAGAGAGGGTGAATAATGTTAAGTGCTTAATAGGAAGAGACAACATTTATCTGTTGAAAATGTAGAAATTGACCAATATGTGATGGAGCAACTGTAGTCATCCATCATTTTTACTTACTTTTTCCTTTTTGTGTCAAAGGGGTCACTGGTGTCCACGTCCAGCAGTCACTGTGTGAGAGGCGGGAGACACCCTGGACAGGTCACAAGTCCAACACAGGACCACATAGAGCCTAACAACCATTCACACTCTCACTCCCACCTAGGAACAATTTAGAGTTACCAATTAGCCTAACATGCATGTTTTTGGTCTGTGGGAGGAAACCAGACTACTTGGAGAAAACCCACACATATACGAAGAGAACAGGCAAACTCCACCCAGAAAGATCCTGGTCAAGATTCGACATAGCAACCTTATGCTGAAAGGTGGCAGCTCTACCAACCGCACCACCGTGCTGCCATGACCACAATCAAGGTTCTCTCTTTTTTTTTTTTTTTTCAAATATGTATGTCGAATGGGTTGTTGCTGATCTGTGCAGCTGCTGATGTAATTGCAAATTGACTGGTTCACATGATGCCATGTGGCTGTGATGTTTAATACTTGCCTGTGGTCATCTTGACTCACCAAGTTGCAAAGCTGTTCTGTTAGTTTTGGTCATTTGAACACAACTTTTACACATCAACTACCAATTTAAAACAGATGTTACTTTTTATTAAACATAACAATCAACACTGCACAAACATAATGATCATGTGATAAATCTATTTTTGTTAGAGGTTTATTGGGGTTATACCTGAACAGCAACCCTAAAGTTGTTTATATAAATTTAGTGCAAGAAAACGTAAATGTAAGTGTCTGCAACCCTGGGACTACTCACCTATTACCTAAAAACTCTCAAAAAACTTTAATAAACAGGAGTATCACTTCCTCCTTGAAACACCACCTTATCATGGTGGAGGAGTTTGTGCACCTGAATGATCCTAGGAGATATGCTATTGGGGGCAATTGTAATTGCCCCTGGAAGGGTCTCCCAAGGCATATTGGTCTTTGGTGAGAGGCCAGACAAAGAGTGATTCCAGAGACTCTTACGGACAGAAAACTACAAAGAGCTCAGTGATACTTGCCTGGACGTGGGTTACCGGTACCCCACCGTGGAGCCAGGCCTGGGGGAGGGGCTTGTCGGCAAGTGCCTAGTGACCATGTCTCTACCCATGGGGTCTGGTCGGGCTCAGCCCGAACAAGCAAAATGGGTTTGCCCTCCTTTGCCCACCACTGGCAGGAGGGGTCATACAAGTAGAGTGCATGACACCATGGGCAGTAGCCAAAGGCGAGGGCCTTGGAGCTCTGACCATGTCTGCAAACCTGGGAATACTCACCTATTACCTAAAAATTCTCAAAAAACTTTAATAAACAGGAGTATCACTTCCTCCTTGAAACGCCACCTTATCGCGGTGGAGGAGTCTGTGCACCTGAATGATCCTAGGAGATATGCTTTTGCTATAAAGCTGGCTCTTGGGACATGAAATGTGTAGTGAGGGTTTGCTGGGAACGCCTGGCAGAAGAAACTCACAGAAAGATCTTCAACTCACACCTCCGGGAGAGCTTTAACTGCATCCCAGCTTAGGCAGGGGACATTGAGTCAGAGAGGGTCATGCTCCGCACCTCAATTGTTGAACTGTCTGTCTTGAGCTGTGGCTGCAAGGTTGTCGGTACTTCTTGCGGTGACCATCCTAGAAGTCAGTGGTGGACATCCCAGGTTAGGAGGCTGTCAAGCTGAAGAAGGAGTCCTATCAGGCTTTGTTAGCTGGTGGGACTCTGGAGGCAACAACGGAGTACTGGAAGGCCAAGCGGGCCACAACCTTGGCTGTTGCTGAGGCATAAGTTTGGATGTGGGAGGAGTTTGGTGAGGCCTTGAATACTTTGGATTTGCTCCGAGGAGATTCTGGCAAATCATATATAGGAATCTGTATTTTGTTCAGTTATTTCTTTAAATCATTGTGTTTCCTGCACTCCTCAGTGTTCTCTTCCTTGTTGTCAACTCCTGTCTCACCTGTTTCAAATCTTAATCACCTCAGGTGTTTGCCATTCTGTCTCATTAGTCTCCCTTCAAATTCAATGTCTGTGTGTTTCCTCCTTTGTCCGTGCATTGTGCTTCCCAGCTTGTCATATTTCGTTCATCTGTCATTCCA